ATATTGCACTAATTATCGTTGTCGGTTTATCATCCAGCCCTACTTGCTAGGATCCATCAGAGCAGAAATTATAAATGATGTGAAAAAAGGGGAAACTCAGTTACTACTGAATGGTATACTCTTTAAAGTTCTGCATCTTGTAGATGTAAAGTTCTATTTCTGTCTGCTCGGCTGTGGTAATGCAAATCCCCAACCAACAGCAATAGTCCCAGCAAAGGGAAAACACAGTCTTTGTGAAAAATCAATATTTTTACATCGTAATGATAATTTGACAACCAGGGTAGAAGAATGCTTCATTTTCCAGAATCCATTACCTGTGTTGAATTTCTCTGAAATAGAATTGTCAGTTCCACTTCCTTTTATTCCAAATCAAATACCAGGTCAACTGGATGTGGCCAGTTGAAATCAAATTCCAACCGCTGAATTGAAAGGGAACCGATTCTCCAATTCTGAATTTTGCCCAACCCTGTCACATACACCCAAATAGCAAAGAACAACTAAATCATTCAACGTGAGATGTAGGAAGCGGGGTGCAATGTCTTAAATGTCCTGTCATGTCTGGACTCTTTCTCTAACATGAAGGAAATAAATATTTATAGACAAAGTCTTTGACCTTGAACATTATACTTAGGAAGGGATATCTAAAATATAGAGATAAAGCATGTTGCACTTTCTCTAATGTTTTTATATAAATACATTTTTCAAATATTGTTTTTCAAGGGCGTTTCACATCTGGCTCCTTGGTGCGTTGGGCTTGGATCCGCACCACAACAATTAGTCCGAGATCATCTGAGCAAAGTCTCTTGGCCTGACTGACACAAACTCTGGAGAGATTTGGTTGTGTTGCGAGAGCAATCCAAACCAACGGACTGACAAACCAAGCTGTATCATAATTTATAATGAGAAATATTACAAAAAAATCAGCTAGAGCAGGATTGAAAGTGTATATACATTTGTGAAAGTGTGTGTAAGGACAGCTACAGATAAAATCCACAATAAACCAACAGAGCTGATTTGTCAGTACATGTTGATGGGTGCCTCTGAGAGTGGAATCCTAGAAATAAACAGGTGGGCTCTGACCAATGAAAGGACAGATTTACTCACATGTAACCAGAGCTGTTGAATACCAGAGTTGCAACATTCCCATAGGCTTCCATAGGTACTGAGGGATGCGGAAGTAAAACATGTCATGGATCAACCAATAGTTTCAAACAACCAATAGTTCCAGCATTGAAGCCCATTCATTTCAGAATGTTGAAAAAATTGCAGCATTTTTTACATTTTAATGCATTAGTTGAACTCTTGGAAATCTGGCCAGTAGCAGATTTTATGAAGCACATTATAGTTAACCTTTATCATTAGATAATAGACAGTTATATTATAATTGCAGTTAGATAATATGAGAAACACCATAGCAAGATGCTAGTTGTCATGGGTTTAAGTTTTTAGCCTTTCAGCAATCTTTCTCTCACTGTAGGAGGTTGAATGAGTTTCAGTGAATACAATAAAGAGTTTTGCTGAATGCAATTGGTTGCCTTGTGTTTTTTTAAACGTTATTTTAAATATTTTTTATTGGGTTCAATTCCGTAGATGCTTGTCTTTTGTAATATTATCTTATGATGTATGCTTATGTGAATATCACAAAATAACACTGGGAAGTAAGTAATTAAGCTTGTTAAATTTAATATTAAAAAACAAAATCGAAACAAAAATCAAATTTTTGATAATGTCTAAATATACATTCAAATGCAAAACCTAAAAAAATTCAAAAATAAATAAGCAATTATGACCGGCAAAACTCTTTCGAGCAACTAGAATAGAGCTAAACACATCTAGACTATATTTATTAAACATGGGCATCGAGCCATTTTATTTTTCTGGCCACCTAATGACGCTAATTTGCCTCTTTGCACTGGAATTTAAAAATTGTTTTCTCCATTTTAAATATTTTATTTGGTCATTCATGAATCATAATTATTGCACATATCATTTAGTGCTAAAAATCTCCTCAAAATATTAACTAAATAGAACTGATTGAAAATATAATAGCTGCACGATTAATCGAATGCGATTGTCTTTCGTATTTTGTTAAAAAAGCCGGTTCTGTATTCATCAGGAAATCATCATCACGTGCTTTCAGATGGAGTAGCATTTACTACACATAACCATAGTTCACTGACAAGTTACGCAAAAAAATTGCAGACGATTTTAATGCAGGATTCTGAAATCTAAGAAATTGACGATAATGACAGCTGTTTGCATAGCTTCTCAGTGAATTACGGCTCTGGGAAGTAAATGCTGTTCCATCTGAAGCATGTGAAAATACCACATTTAATAACATATTTTTACTCCAAACTCACTTCATAACGTCAGTCGAGTGTTTGAAATAAATCCTTCTGTGAGATGATGTGGCTTCTTATACAGAATAAGGCACGCAACATATGTCATAGTATTTAAGCAGTGATAAAGGCATTGCATTATAAATATAATTTATTTTAATGAAAATTATAATAATAAGAACTCAGATAAACCGTATATTGCCGTAGTCTTGTGTTTTTTAGTCATCATGTGAAAATACCACATTTAATAACATATTTTTACTCCAAACTCACTTCATAACGTCAGTCGAGTGTTTGAAATAAATCCTTCTGTGAGATGATGTGGCTTCTTATACAGAATAAGGCACGCAACATATGTCATAGTATTTAAGCAGTGATAAAGGCATTGCATTATAAATATAATTTATTTTAATGAAAATTATAATAATAAGAACTCAGATAAACCGTATATTGCCGTAGTCGTGTGTTTTTTAGTCATGTTGAATCAATGAAAGCAGTTGAATCTTCTGTTTATTCAGCTGTAGCGATAGGCATTTTCTGGGTTTCTTCTGCGAGGCGTATTTGGCGTTTCAGCGCGAGAGCGCCCTCTGGCCTTTGGATGGAGATTTACTGCTGATCACAGAACCGTGCTTCACTGAAAGTTACGCATGACAATCCCAGCTTCTGTCGAATCGCGATCTGTATTCCATTTCGATTTATCGTGCAGCCCTATATAGTACAATTATTTAATTGATTAAAAGTTACACTTAAGGTGTTTGGTCACATTTAACTGCTAAGGGGTATGAGAACATATCAGTGCTGTGTTTTTGTCACTCCCAAGAATGAAATGTTATTGTAAAGTGAAGTCAGCGTAGTTATCAATGCACATAATTACTAGAAATTGCTGCAAATATAGTGAAACTGCTGTTTGTCCCAATTAAACCTATTCAAACATATAGACAGCGCAGAGTTGTTTGGAACTACTGAAAGCTCCATGAACCACTTGACTGTGTGGCCGCGAGATCAAAGCATGCTGCGACTTTCTCAATCGCTCTGCATCTAACATACATACATTTTGGTATGCTTTGGAATGCTGCATTTTGAAAGCAAACTTATTTTGAAGTTTTGTTGTGAATGAATGAATGAGGCATTTATATAGCGCTTTATTGTGTATTGCTGTGCACCCAAAGTGCTTTATAATCATATGAGGGGGTCTCTCCTCCACCACCAGTGTGCAGCATCCACCTGGATGATGTGACGGCAGCCACAGGACAACGGCACCAGTTTGCTCAGCACACACCAGTTACAGGTGGAGAGGAGAGAGAGATAGATCCAATTCAGTGGATGGGGATTATTAGGAGACCATGATTGACAAGGGCCAGTGGAGAGAATTTGGCGAGGATACTGGGGACACATCCCTACTCTTTACAAGACGTGCCATGGCATTTTTAATGACCACAGACAGTCAGGACCTTGTTTTAACGTCTCATCCGAAGGACGGTGCTTTTTAGGCATTTATATAGCGCTTTATTGTGTATTGCTGTGCACCCAAAGTGCTTTATAATCATATGAGGGGGTCTCTCCTCCACCACCAGTGTGCAGCATCCACCTGGATGATGTGACGGCAGCCACAGGACGACGGCACCAGTGTGCTCAGCACACACCAGCTATAGGTGGAGAGGAGAGAGAGATAGATCCAATTCAGTAGATGGGGATTATTAGGAGACCATGATTGACAAGGGCCAGTGGAGAGAATTTGGCGAGGATACTGGGGACACATCCCTACTCTTTACAAGAAGTGCCATGGCATTTTTAATGACCACAGACAGTCAGGACCTTGTTTTAACGTCTCATCCGAAGGACGGTGCTTTTTATATTATAGTGTTCCTGTCACTATACTCAGGACGTTAGGACCCACACAGACCACAGGGTGAGCACCCCCTGCTGGCCTCACTAACACCTCTTCCAGCAGCAACCTAAGTTTTACCAGGAGGTCTCCCATCCAGGTACTGACCAGGCTCAACCCTGCTTAGCTTCAGTGGGCAACCAGTCTTGGGCTACAGGGTGATATGGCTGGCTGTTGTGGGCTTGCCTTTTCTGTGTTCATGTTTCTCCTTCCCTTTGTATTCTGGTATTTCCTCTGTTGTCATTTTTCATGTAATGCCTTTTTTACACTGCATAAATATACCCATTTTCTTTTGTCTCCTCGAGTATTTTGTGTTCTGTGTTCTTATTTGCCAGTGACTTTTGGTTTATTCCAACACATTTACATTTATGCACTTACCAGACA